AGCTAACTCTAGTCTCGATGGTAAATAAATTCGCTCCACTTAATACATATAAACTGTAATAAAAACCGCCTAGTATAAGAACGTTTATTGTTCGAAGCTACTTCATTTTACTCTTTGCGCGTTACTTTCCGTTAGCGATAAAGTCTTACCGTTAAATGAATATTATTAACTTGTTTACTAGACCTTCTATTTTTAAGAACGGTTCTTCGTGGCTCGAGTTCGGCACGTTGTACATCGTAGTACACAGTCTTATTCAATTATTACAGGGGTTATAAATAAATCTATGCGTTTATCGATAGCCTTTAAATTAATTGAGAGGATCAGATAGCAGCAGGTAACGGAAAAGCGTGTTTCGTTAATCCTTTTGCCGCGGCAGATTTTAGTACGTAACGTGTGCGGCAGACGGTGAATGTTTAACAGACAGTGTATTGTTTTAAAATTTCCTTCATTAAATTCACTTGAACTGCGCGAAGGATAAAATGAAGGATTGAACAAATTTACCTAACCTAACCTAACCAAAAGGCTCCAACAGTATAGTGCAAACAAATTTTGAAAATGCCTATAGACGTCGAAAGCAACGAAAGGGTTAAACGTTTCACATTTCGTACGTCAAAAGATTGGGACATTTTAAGAATTCTGAGTATTAGGACACTTATTAGAAAATTAGTCAGGTCGAAAAAAATTATTCCGTTCAGAATCAAGTAGTGTAAGGTAAACTTAGATAATTCATGCTCCGTTCATAATTCCATTCGTAAGTCCTAAAAAAAGAGGCAATAATTAAATTTTGCTTTTCTTCGTTGCGTTTTCTTCCCCAATTTTCGTAAATTCACATTTTCACGTATCGTCATTACGCGAAAATTGCAAATTTAAATAATTGCAAAAATGCAAATTTACAAAATTTATTCAAGCTGCCATATTGCGTATAAAAAGTAATAAAACTTTGTCCTCTTCTAGTTTTCTCACAAATCTACCATTTACCAGAAAAATGTAAAACGTTTTCTGTACGAATATAACAGGTGTCCTAATACTTACGAACGGCAGTATGTATCTGTTCCTCTCAATTAGAACATCAACTAATATTGACATAAACGCTCGAATTGTACTAATACCTAACAATAACTATCTTCAAAAGAACCATGTATTTCGAATAATAGTTATTTCTTCCCTCGATATCTATACAGAGTGTACCACCTAACTTCGTCACCTGAAAATTTCCGTTGTAATTAAAATTTCGTAAAAATGTTTCCTACAATAGGTTCTCAAGGTTAGCCAAGCTCGTATAAACAAGGGATGAGGTGGAGCAGGGTTGGACTTAAACCGTGTGAATGCCACGGGTTATTGTAGTCTTTCCTAATTCTTTCATTTGATGTCAAAAGTTCCAAAAATTTTATTTTGGGCATTTTCACTGAACACGACTGTTTGGAAATAACACGAAACTAAGGCAAAATTGACTATGTGTAGGGTTTTTGTTCAATTTTTTTATAAAAAAAGTAGAATAAAATTTGCACTTCGTGGTCCGGTGCGGTGGCACTCAAACGGTTGAAAGTTATTGTGGGCGGGGCCTAATTGAGTCCCTCTAGCGGTCGGGTCGCAAAGCTCGACGCGGGGAATCCTGAAAGCGTCTGAAAGGGTACCCAGGGCTCCCCATAGCGCGCCAACGAGGGCAGCCGCGGGGGTTTTCAATGGATAGGAATCCTACATTACCCCATTTCTTTCCCCTAGAGAGACCAAGCGTCTTGTAGAAGATCTCCTCCATGTACCAAAAAATAAAAAAAGGGTCGTATAAACGAAATTTTCTATTTAACTTACGGCACCGCTGCGAAGCATCGTTCCGTTTAACCTCCGACTCTTGAGAACGCTTACCCTTGTTTATCGACATGTTGTAAGTGCAATGGACATTTTTAATTACGTTTAGAAATTCAAAGGAGGCGTTCGAAATACTCGCTGTTGACTTTGATGCATTTTCTTTTCTGTACTTTCGCTGATCTTGAAGAACTAAGTAAGTGTTATAGGTCGTTAAATTTGTTTTCAAAATGGCTACCGTACACAAATAAATAAAATACAGCGTTCCATTTAAAAAATTAATAAAATTGACCTTTTGTTTCGTTAACTCTTTGCAAATGGAATAAAACTATTGTCACTGCAAACTGGTCCCCGCGAAACTGCAACTTTTGTAGGAAACATTTTTATTAAAATGGAAGTATTTCAGGTGACGAAGTTAGATAGCGCATCCTGTATACGAATAAACGAAGAGGCGAACATAATTTCTAACGCGTCGATAACAAATACCGTTTATTATCCATACCGTCGAATTCATATAGAAAAGTAGCAAGCGTAACCCAAGTAGATCATCACGATTCCTCGCGTGCAGCGAAAGGTTCGAAAGTTCTAGATTTTCAAATTTTTTCTTCCATGAGATTTTCTGGTTTCGCTCTACGCAAATACTCTCCGCAACGATCGTTTTCTAGAAAATTGCCACGACAAAAGGATCGAAGGAAACGCAAAAAATTCTCACTCGTCGATATTTAAAAGCGGCAATTTTCAGAAATTAACGGCGCTCTTTTATTCGCTTTATCTGGTAGAGCCGGTCGCAAACCATTCGAACCCGGCGGATGGAGGAGGGATCTTCACGGTACGACGTAGAATCCTGACAAAAATTCCTACGAACGTCTCGAACGCAAATATTTAAGCTCCTCGAGACCCCACCAGTCTCATTACGCGGCTCCTGCAGCATTCATCAGATACTTTCAGGAATTTTTGGCAGCGAAGCTGTGCTCTCCGGTTTATAAATTATTCGGCTATGATGAACACGAGGCTTTCATCCGCCGCACCTCTCCCAAAACCTGACAACCGATGAACATTTCTTATCGTTTCAAAAAACCTGTGTCCCTATACGTTGTCACCTCGTGTACACGAACATACTTATCTTCCTTCTCCCCCCCCATCATCATTTCATTTCCCTTCTTTCTCTCGCTTCTCTATCCTTTCTTCCGTTCTCCACTTCTGTCGCAAAACAACACGTGACTTCCGCCGCCAGCGCGATAACTCAAACACGTTCTCTGTGTTCCGTAAATAATTCTTGTTTCTTACCAAAATGGGGTGGAGAGGGATGACGGCGAAGAGAAGGAAGAGGCAGGAAAGCGGAGAGGAAAGGAGAGGCTGGTTATTGGAACAAGTGACGCGAAAAGGAGAAAGAGATACAGCTGAATGATGGATCACGTGAAATCCCTGAATAATGTTAGATCGGTGCATACGAAATGTCGGATCCTTTTCGAGCGCGCGCGCACTCAGCCCATTTATTAAGGCTCTTCAGTTTTGTTTGGTAGTGGGATTTCCCCTTGTTTCTTTTTCCCTTCTGTTTTCGTTCTGCGTCTCTCTTTTCCGCCTTCTGAAAGGTTAGCCGGTTGGAACGGAAGGTGATTTAATTAAAAGCCCCAATTAATTGCTGCCCCCAGAGCAACTACTGAATTAAACAGCGACTCTGCTTTCGGTGGCCAAGCTGCCCTCGCTGTTTTGACATCTTGTGTCTCCTTTTAAGTCTTTTAAACGGTCTTCATTGTCGTCGAGGAAAGGAGCTTGTTCTTGACAATCTTCAGACCAATTTGGGTTTATCTATGGAGATCTGCACGCTTTTCATTTGGTGTAAATTGCGGTTTAATGTGATGATTGTTTCGCACGGAATGTAACTTTGTGTATGTGTCAGGGTTGAAGCGTACGTCAAATCTATTAAAATTTTGCACATTCGGTAGAAATTTGATATTTGAAATTCAGTAAAAATCTTAGTATATCGTAGATTAAGTGTTTTCAGCATTTGAAAAATTTCTGGCGAACTCGTCCAAATTAATTTAATTTCTGATTAATAACGACATTTAAGTATTACACATTTCACCCCATAGCTACTTTTGCACAACCTAATTATCACTAATTCTGTGAAATTATATACAACATTTATTAGCATAATTATGCCAAAATGCGTGCATTTATTAATAAATCTACGTACGCATATTTCAACTACAACATATACACATAATACATGTAATAAACTGCTGGAATATTACGAATGATTTTTCGCGAAACTTCGCAAGCTTCAAATGCATTCACGTTATCTGAATTAAGCTTTCGTTACTATCCCTTTCGTCTCTCTGTTTATCATATTTCTCGGGGTTTAAATTCAGCTTAGAGATTTAAACGTTTATAATAATTTAGAAAATACTCTCGCATGCTTTCCAGATAAAACCGAACCAAGCCAATGCCTCAGATTGCTTTATTATAAAAGCCCAGCAGCTTGGCGCAGCAGAGTTCTCCCATTTCATTCATATCGTAAGAAAATTCGATCCGAATAGGACAGAAATTGGAAATATTCTCTACCTCACTTTCGATTTCCATTTTTCGCATAGTCCTAGATAAAAATGCGTGTACACGCTTGTTCCAAACATTTACTCAATTTCGAACACCTATTCAAAATATATCTAATATTCGTAACAAAAATCCCTCCAATTAAGAAGATTCCAAGCCTTCTCGAATTCGAGAAAGTTCCCATTTCGTTGCACTAAAACCGGGGAAACCCCTGCAGAAGTCTCGACAATTCTCCGGTTGCCGTGAAAAGTGGTGGGAAATTCACGGCTAAAATTTCTTTCAACCTCAAACTTCGATTCGTGAGCCCGGGAGAAAAGAAGAGGTAAAAAGAAGAAGAAACAAAAAATATGGAAGAAGAAAGAGCAGCTCTAATAATAGTTGCGGTGAAAGACGTCGCAAGTGGCCGCGCTGAAAATCCGACATTTCATCCGCAGCGATCTAATATTCTCTTATAGACCGTGTAATCTTGATACCCGTCTTGAGCTCGTTCCTCCGGCAATCTTTTCCCTCCGTTCCCGGTTAACTCGTTTTCTCTCACTCTCTCTCACTCTCTCACTCTCACCGTTTTCCCCGTTCGACTCGTAGGTCGCCCGACGCCCCGGTCGAGTGCGCCCCGGCAGTGGAGACTAGTGATGGTTCCAGTATTAACCCAAACCTCCGGCTGTCTTGGTCCCGTTGGTCCGCAGGTTAGAGTTCCTCCGGTCCTCCTCTGGAACCCACCGTACAAGAAGAACAGGAAAACAAAGACACTAGAGAGTTTTCCGCTCGGGCGACAATTACTGCTAAATTGCCTCGCGTCTTGGCTATGGCCCGTTTAACCTCTCGTTTCTTTACACGAGCCCGGGCTTTCTGCATGATAATTGCTAGACACACACGCGGCTCATTCGCTAGAAAACCACTCAACGCAACAAGGCTAACGAACACTTTCTCTGTAACCACCGTGTGTTTTCAGGCGAACTTTGCAGGAGTTTAAAGGCTCGCACAGTGTTCTGGAGGAGGTTTTCTTGGTTACTTCGATTAAAGGTATTAGGATTAGTTCTGAAGGGAAATGTTGGGTTAACGTGATTTACTGTTGGGATTTGAATTAAGGATCTTTAGAGATGACTGAAAGTTTCCATGATTTCAAGTCTTTACAATCGAGTGGTGATTGAGAAAGGAAGTTAAATAATTATCATTTGGTGAATAATTAGTCAGGACCCTGTTAGAGGTTAGAGAAGGTCTAAATATGGGCTAGTTGAAGTATTGAATATGTTAAGTGCTTGACTCTATTGAAAATAGGATGTAACTACGAGTTATGAACAAAATAAGTGTTGCTGCGTTTATTTTGTTTACTGTTGTGTTGCAAAACGTGTCGTTTCTCTTATTTCGCTTTTTCAAAACATTTTTCAGGTAAGTTCGTTTCATTGTTTCAGCAATGATCTATTAAACTAAGAGCTAATTAACCGAGAGTACTACATTGCTGACATTGTAAGTTTCTTTTTAGTATAAGTTTTTTAGTAGCTTTATAATATGGGCTAGCCAATATTAGAATTCGGTAACTATGAGAATTCTAATAAAAAAAATACCAAAACATTAAAAAGAAAGATATATAACATCTTGAAAAAGATGTATACGTTTATGACTATTGTAAATAGCATTTAAGTTTAAGTTTACATTTCTATATGTAGACAAACTTTATACTTCAACCTAATATTTCAACCTGAAAATATACAGTTCTTACTTCTCATTTCGATTATTTCACGAGTGGCCCATATTTAGAACACCTTTCTAAAAATGAAGATTTTTCCCTGTTATGTTAAATATACAATTTACAACATACGTTGCTTTTGTTCAGCTTATATTCAAGTGTTATATCTTAAAAATCATCCACAGGTTTGACAATAAATCCTGGAATAAAAGTGCTAGCCCATATTTAGAACTTCTCCTCTATATTGTGGGCCTCCATAAATTGTTCGTCATATATTAAAGGTCTAAGCAGTGAAATTGTTTGGAAGAATCAACCTCAAGAATATGTACATTCAATATCGAAATAAAATAGTAAGATTTATTTCTACGTTAGTTTTGAGAAATTTCCCGATTTACAGCCTTTCCTACAGCAAAAACATCTCCGAGTGCAAAGGAGGATGTTTAAAAAAGGTCAATTTTGGCATACGGCCGGAACGAAAAATTTTTTTACAGCATGATTCTACGCATCCTGAGGAACGAAAAATGTAATTGTCATTTTGGATTGGAAAGTTATGAAAAATGCGGTTCAAGGTAAGAGTATGACCATACTTATAACTTAATATTCCTTAACTTAATTAATAAGTTGGCAAAATTATTTCGAATAAAATTGTTTCGTTTCAACGGAGTTATGTTCCTCTGAAAATAAGTGGCTTGAAACCGCGGGAACTTTCAGGATGATAAATTGTCCGATGGAGGTTTTCATGAGTGTCTGGAGCAAATAAGGAATTCGATTCTTTTGAAATCTGAAAGTGCATTTCATAGGAGATGAGACTTTATTCTCCGTTTTTTGTCAAAAGCTTTTATAATAATTTAGACGATAATTGTCTGTTGCCTGAAAAATTGATACAGTAAATTTTCTACAAGAGTCAGTAAGTTTGGATTCTACAAGTGACAGTATAGAGGGTCCTACGCCTAGGTCTGCGTCATTGCTGCGCCCATGTTACTTCGCTCGTAGTCAGTCAAGAGTGTAACGCTAAACCAGTCGGTTTCCTTTACGAGAATTCACGGCTCGACAAATCATAATAGAAGAATATAATTTCTTTAATATTTTAAGCATAGGATTATAGTATTATGCTTTATAATTTTTTTTTTTCAATTGAAAATAATGTCTAGCTAGCTATGACGTTCAAAATTTTTAGTTGACAACATTTATTTTATTTTAATTATTCTAAACATTTGAGGCACTCCAGTCATTGATGACCACCATGGCCATATCGAGGAAACAATCTAACGTTAAATCTTGTTGAGTGATTAATTTAATTTCATAATATATCGCTTTAGCGAGCCACCGTTAGGTTGCTAATTGTTTATCACATAGAGTCGGCCTACCTCCACGTAAAAAAAAAAAAAAAAATTTAGGATCGATTCCACAACTGTCAGTAAAATGTAGGGTCGATTCGACAAGTATCAGTAAAATGTAGGGTCGATAGCAGCAGAAAAGATGCTAAACAATTAGAATTAAATGTAACGATAGAAATTATTGCAATAATGTGTAATGCAATTGAAAAATTGAAAGAATCAAAAGAAAAAACGCGAATTCGTATCTTTTTCGATTCTAGAATATAAGAAAATTTGAATAAAATACGCGACGAGAATTGGGGAGAAGCATAAGTTAAACGCGTAAAAATATTCAATAATAAACGAACTAGGGATGAAGCTGTTATTTCAATACGCGATGCACTGACTCTAGTATTTACTAAAATTCAAAAATTCTCGTATAAATTCCGAAAATAGATTATTAATTACAGTAAACTACTGAGACGGTTTAATTTAGGGAGGGCATAGTGCACGAGTGTAGTGCACTCGTTCCAAATCAGATCACAATATACAATAATAAATCAACTAACTACTTAAAATGCAATTCATGCAAATTCCTTGGATGGTAAATTATTAGTAAACAAAATTCAATATCAGAGAAAATATATGAAAAATTTCAAATTAATTTCAATTGCTCAAAGTCATTTCAATATCCTATTCGACAAGTCTGAAGAACAACGATGACTAAAATTCAAATGTTTATTTCCCTAAACCTTCAAAATAATTTCGAAATATTTTATTCGAAGCGGAGTATTCCAAGTCAGTATCGATAATTGAAGAAATTATTTGATTGTATTTAAAAGAACCGAAAGGAGAATATTTAAAGTCTGATATTAAATGTCTAGCAAGTACCAGTAATTGGTAAAATGATTTATATTTGTTTTAAAAGGAAAATTTCTAATAGGTATTAGTTAAAATGAATTGTTATTCAGTCTATTGTATTGAAATTCTAATTGATTCTAATGTATACAAGTGTTACAAGAAGGCTGAGTGTGTACAGGGTGGACACTGACTCTAGTATTTACTAAAATTCAAAAATTCTCGTATAAATTCCGAAAATAGATTATTAATTACGGTAAACTACTGAGACGGTTTAATTAAGGGTGGGCATGGTGCTGCTTTAGTTTGAAATGATTTATAAACACATAATTAACAGAGGAAAAACCGTGAAACGGCAAAACGTCTACATTCTAATTGTTATAACATGTAAACAGAACTTTAAATTTAGTGTAAACAGAAAAAATATATAATACAATTTATTTCACGGTATTGCAACAAATAAACGTTGAATCAATATTTAATTCGTATAAAAACAATTATTTAACGTAATAATTTTACCTTCACTATGGCTATTTTTAATCTACGACCACAGGTCAACCTGATTTCTAATCCTTACGAACTGGATTAAAAATCAGGTTGACCTGTGGTCGTAGATTAAAAATAACCATAGTACAGCTAAATTTATCGTGTTAAATAATTCTTTTTACACGAATCAAAAATGTATTCAACGTTTGTTTGTTATAATATCGTGAAATGAATTATATTACACATAATAATTACAATTCTGCCTGAATTTAGGTCGACCCTACATTTTACCGGTGTGGGTAACATTTTACTAACACTTGTGGAATCGACTCTACATTTTTTTTTTTTTTACGGGGAGGTAGGCCGCCTCTATGTGATAAACAATTGGCAACCAAACGGTGGCTCGCTAAAGCGATATATTATGAAATTAAATTAATCACTCAATAAGTATTAACGTTAGATTGTTTCCTGGATATGGCCATGGTGGTCATCAGTGACTGGAGTGCCTCAAATGTTTAGAATAATTAAAATAAAATAAATGTTGTCAACTAAAAATTTTGAACGTCATAGCTAGCTAGACATTATTTTCAATTGAAAAAAAAAATTATGAAGCATAATACTATACTCCTATGCTTAAAATGTATTTTCTTGTGGCTGCCTGACAGCAACCTGTAAATCTGACAGGACAGTGAACGTGTTAATAAGTAAATGTTGTTCAAATTATGTCGTGTTTTATGTCATTTTCATCAGAAAAATCTCATCAATATGTTAAGAAAAATTTCGGGATAAAAAAACGTAAAATTAAAAAAGCTGATATTTAAATCGCTTCGTTGCCTCGACTCACTTTTCATGCTTATCTTTTATTCGCTGTTCTAGTCTACGTTCGGCAAACTACAAAGGTGGGCGCGAGGCACGAAAACGTAGTCCCTGACTCTACGAGTGTCAGGTTTAGCTTCCTTGCGGTCTGACACTTGTGGAGAATATACTGTATTCTTGTTTCAACTTCAAATAAAATTCAAACATTTCAACAGTTAGATTTTGTATATTCCACTAAGTAAGCTAGTAATGACAAGGGAATCTTTGTTTGAATACGTGAATTTCAAATTTTGGAATTTTAGAAATCTGTAATTTTAAATATTTAATATTATTCAAGCTAAAATCTAAATGAATTTTGAATACAAATTTAAAAAATTCTTCCTATTTTCCCTGAAAAAATTTAACAAAGCCAATTTTCTGTTATTGTATACTATTTGTAATAAGTATGAATTTCCATATTAAGTTAATCCAAATTTAAGAACATCTATACATCATTTTTGTAATCATCTGTTTACATAAAATCTTTCAAACACCTCAATCGATATTTAACACAGTAATGTGTTCGTCTGTTTATAATTTTTTGTAGAATTCATTATTTACATATCTATCGAGAAATGTATAACTCAACAGTTACTAGCTTAGTCTATATTTATATTCCTTATATGGTACCATGATAACTATAGAAAAATACCAAATATTGGTCGTAACTTTGAAAGTTCAGTTCCAAGTAGAAATGTTGTGTTACTTTTGACCAATTAGCTAAAATGATTTTGGAGCGTTAAAAGACAAACATGCACTATTGTCATTTTTTCTTTAAATAAAGCAGCAAGTAGTGGGCAAACGAAATTGGTACCTAATTCATCATTCTTCGTGGTTTAACAATTAATTAGATTGCTCGATGTCAAATTTCAATTTTTTCAAGTACTATTTGTTTCGATTTTTCTTTCCTTTTTTTTTCACGTATTTACATTATTCTCTATTCTGCACAGTACGCAGAGAAAAAAGCGAATAGGCGATTGAAAGTGTTGCGATAGTGCTGTTGAAATGTTTCAATAGTTGGCTCTTCAATAGCTCTGCAGCATTCTTTCCATTGAGTTGTTGAAGGACTTCTGGCATTGTCAAAGTAAAATACCTTATTTTATGCTTAAAAGCACGTGTTACTTTATTATCTGCAGTATACTCTGTGTTCGTTTGAATACGTTTCTTTCGGTGAATTAAACGTTTTCAATCTCAATTTAGGAAATTATCGTTTAAAGAAGATCTGTCAAATATATTTTTCACAGTTTTAATTATTCTAGGTGAATATCGATGTGTGTAATAAATGGGAAAAAATTGCCGATTGTGAGGAATTGAAAAGCTGCTAACCAAGGAAACATTAACTTTTCGAATTTTACGTCTGCTTTCTGCTTTCATTTCTATTATAACTTCCAATTATTGAAAAATTAAGTTCATTAACGTGACATTCTACATAAATTATTTGTGTCACTTGTTATTAATCTACGTAAAATCTCCAAATGGCATAAAAAGTGCTATGCCACGTTAAAGATAATAACTTCACTAGGTCAATAGTTTAAAAAATCTTAGAAAAGATTCCCTCTCATTTCCCAACAACATTTTTCTCACAGCATTTATAATCAAACTTTTTTTTCTTTTAATAAAATATAAAACTATTTTTATTATTTTCATATAAGAAAGTTAACGAATATGTGTACTTTTTTTGTGACAATGCAATTCTGGTATTTTCCTTAAGTAAGTTTCCTTATTATTTTTCTCCTATTTTTCTAATATACTGTAAGAGTTCCTTTCAACTTGTCTCTGTTACATTTAATAATTATCTATACCACATGGAAAAATCCTTACTGTTGGTCCGATTTACGGATATCTAAATCTTCGGTATTCGAATTTTTAGAGAATACTAGAATTTTTAAATTTATCTTCATACACAACCTAAAGGTTTGAAAAACAAACATAACCTCTTTTACCTACTGCTACTTTTTTCACTTTCACTAATTTAATCTTAGTGTTAGTCTGCATTTAAACTATAGTAAGAGCCAAATGAATTGGACGGTCAAGATCATTTCTCCCCCGTCGCTTTTCGGTTCCACTTTTGTAAGAATATGGTTTTGTGGAGTACCTCTCGGTCTGCGGAGGAACCCGGTCCCAACGCCTGACTCCCCCGCGCGCTAAGGTTTGGGTCAGGTAAGGACCCAGCCACGTGCTCGCGAGACGCGGTCCTTGCCGGGTAGAAACCCCCAACTTGCGCCAGGGTTTCCCAAAGGCAAGAGAGGGGCGTCAAAGCCGGCATATAAGGACGCGTTAGGAGCACTGCGGGTAGAAACATAAGAAATATAAGAATTGTAAGGATTGCAGGAGAGTAGATTGAGCCGCGTAGTCAATGACGGAATAAATATAGTTTTTTTATATTATCGGACGAAGCACTATTTAAACTGAAACCCCTTACACTTTCGCCTTTTAGCAGTTAACCCTTTGATTACTATCG